CACACACACACACACACACACACACACACACACACTCTCTCTCTCTCTCTTTCTCCTGCTGCATTGGGTTTGACAGCTACATGCACCATTCATTAATTTACTTAACTTTACTTAAAGAAAAGAAAGGAGTGCAAGCACAAAGTAAAGACACTTCCTTCTCCGCCCCTCCCTCTTCGTCTCCCCCAAAAAAAAAACCCCCAAAAAAACAAACACACACACAAAATGTTGTATTAAATAATATATCAATTTTTGCAAAATAAAAATACCACCCTTGGTCCTTCTTTGATTTGGAGGACCAAATGAAAGTCGTGTGGAAAGAATGGGCATTTTTTTTCCTTTCGAGAAGAAACACAACAGGTAATGAAACATGGGTGTGTTTATGGGGTTCAGGGCAGAGAAGACATTCAGCGAGGTGGTTTCAAAGAAATGCATGTTGTTGGATCACAAAGGTGTGGTTTGAAACTGGCTGGTTCCCGTTGGCACAATAGTCAATACTATGAAGGCAGTAAACCATGGTTCTTCAAACACAGCTGAGATCAGAAGTCAGAAGAAAGCGGCCGTGTCTGCTTGTGAAAGGTGTTGTCTTCCATCATGACAACACACTTGTGCACACACCTCGAAAGTCACCGATCTCCTGGACTCCTGGCAGTGGGAAATCCTTGAACATCCACGCTATTTCCTACAACTTTCATTTACTTCACAAAATCAAAGGATTCTGGGTGCAGCAATTAAGCGATTTGAAGGCAAGGAAGAAATTGTGCTGGAAGAAAATACTGAGCAAAGGATCCCGGCCGAATTGGACATGGTCACTTCGTTTGACCGCTGGCTACATCCTATAAAAAAAACTGCTTTGAGATCGACTGTCGTTATATTGTACAGAAAACATGTTTCTGTAGTTAGATCTATGTATTAAAGATCTTGTATGTAAAATAAAAAAAATTATTGATTTTTACAGAACAGGGGCACCTACTTTTGGGACAGACAATGCACGATAATTATTGTTGACAAGGTCTTTCTTGTCAGAGGTGGAAATAGGAACATATTATATAGGAACAAAATATTTATTTTTATGGGCTGAAAAAGGAAACTATCTTTTAAAAATAAACTATAGCCTACATGTATGTCTGCTTATCAGAAAATTATCGTATTGTTTATCTTGTTTCATTTGTTTGTTTGTATATTTTAATTTTTTTTTAATTTTTTTTTTTTGGGGGGGGGGTTAGTTTTATTTCTAATTCTTTCCATCTTTTTTAATATTGTTTTGCTTTGCTTAGCTTTTGTATTTTAGCGTATGCCTTTATTTTTTATTTTTTAAAAATTGGTTTCATAATTATATTTTGTGACAGTGTGTGATTCAAAGGGAAAATTGTCAATTGCCACCGCGTCACTCGGTGGCAATTGACACTACCATAATAATATTATAAGTGTCAAGGGGCTGAACCCCATATTTGAAGAGTAGCAGCAAGGGTTTATATCCTTTCATCTATTACTCCCCTTCTTTGATTGATTTTTTTTTTTTTAATGCACAAAAACAGCTCCTGGGCCAATCCCCTTCTCTAAGAATGCAACACGGCTTATTAAAACACCATCAAAAGCTGTTATGTCATTGCTTCACTATCAAAAACCTGCTAAGTCAATACTTTGTATTCCATATTCACTGTTATTTAATCATGAACTACAGCATAAAAAGTGTCTACATATCTCAGTCTCAGTGTGTAGCAAATTGGAAATAATGGTACATAATTTCTATACTTAATGCAGTTTTTCTCATAACTTGACCAACTCCACTTACCAGGTTTTGCAAGTGACCTCTGACCTTTCATATGTGTAGGAGTTTACAACCTCAACTTCCTCATCTTCAATGAAAAATGGTTGCGAAGGATCTTTTTAAACTCTAAAGTCTATTATTAATTCCTTAATTCTTTTTTGCATTTCGTAAAATGGAGTGGTTATCTCACCAATTTGTAAATACATTTACAGCCTCCCTGTATTCCTTCTCATTTGCTGTTTAAGGCCTTAGAGGGAGGTATATCTCGACTAAGCAAGTCTTTGTGGTCGTTCTTATATGTATGTTTACCTTTTCTGTTGTATGAAACACATTAACAACAACGATACTTCGGGGGTGCAATTTGCAAGGATTATTGTAAAGTCATAGCAGTCTGCTGAATATAACTATCATAAGCAAAGATCGTTTGCCTGCGCTGCTAATGCAGCAAATTAACATCACATAATAATATATAATATGTAACAAATAGATATAAATAACGTAATATATAATATATATACACATCTAATGTATAATATATATCTAAATAATATAAATTATACATATAGTATATATATACTCGGTGTATATATATATATATATATATATATATATATATATATATATATATATATATATATATATATATATATAAATATACATTAAATAAATGTATGTTTTATACAATATAAAAATTTATTATATAGATCTATATGATACATAAAATTATATATACATAATGTGTGTGTGTGTGTGTGTGTGTGTGTGTGTGTGTGTGTGTGTGTGTGTGTGTGTGTGTGTGTTATGTGTATGTGTGTATTATTAATTAATATCATAATCAGTAGGTGCCAGATCTACGAAAGACACTGGCGATCGTGGTCTGCTCATTTATTTGCTCAGAGGCTCTAACAAACATCGACAGTTTCCTGGTCTCTGCCCTATCCTAGCTGTTCAGGTTTTCCCAGTTGGCTGCTCTTTGTCTATCTTATTTTTTGTTGAAGTCAAAAAGAAACTGCCCAAAAAAGACGTAAAAAAGGGGAGACTGAGAAAGGGAGAGGGCGAGAGAGAGAGAGAGAGAGAGAGAGAGAGAGAGAGAGAGAGAGAAAGAGAGAGAAATGGAGAGGAAGAGAGAGAGAGAGACAAACAGACAGACAGACAGACAGAGAGAGAGACAGAGAGAGGCGGGGGAGAAAGAGGAGGGGAAGGAGGAGGAAGAGATAGACAAGAAAGAAAGAAAGAAAGAAAGACAGAAAGAAAGAAAGACAGAAAGAAAGAAAGAAAGAAAGAAAGAAAGAAAGAAGGAAAGAAAGAAAGAAAGAAAGAAGGAAGGAAAGAAAGAAAAAAAGAAAGAAAGAAAGAAGGAAGGAAAGAAAGAAAGAAAGAAAGAAAGAAAGAAAGAAAGAAAGAAAGAAAGAAAGAGACAGAGATAAAGAGAGAGGTCTAATTTTTGATAGTGTAATGTCGGCTTCCGTTGATTTCTAAAAGTAACTATTGTCAGAAACTTGTCCGTCCACATAATAACACGAGTTCTATGGTCAGAAACGTTTCCACGAACACTTAGCACGAGTTCTAAGGTCAGAAACTTTACCGCCCACACAAAGTGCGAGTTCTATTTTCAGAAACGTTACCATCAGAAACGTTTCCATCCACACACAGTACGAGTTCTGGAGCGACGAACTTTACTTACAGAAACAGAGAAGGGTTTTGACGACACTTTTTCCCGACACAAAATGTGCCTGGTCTCTTGCCGGGCAGGATAAACGTCGCTGAAAGTTACAGCCCTTAATTCAATTCTTCCAATAAATCTTCTCATTTTCCTAATAAGAGAACAACTAAATATCTTTTTTTTTATGTTAATAAAACCCAAAAAAAGAAAAGAAAAAGAAAAGAAAGAAAAGAAAAACCTCTGTTTGGCAAAGTCTTTTTTTTTTCTTTCTACTCTCGATAAGTGATCTACGTTTTGCTGATTGTGTACGTAATATTTGCAATCAAGCATGTAATTGACATTTACAATCATCCAGAACAAAAAACAACAACACATTTACAATCACCAGTTAAGATTGTGTACGCAGATATGCAACCAAACGCATAATTCACAATTACAATGATCAAGGAGAAACACCATAACATTTACAACCTTCAATACTTAAGATTATATATTTATCTTTGCAATCAAACGTATATATTATAATTCATATTATTCACAATCATCAAGAAGGAATAAAAAACACGTTTGCAATCACCAAACTTACGATTGTAAACGTCTGTTTGCAATCAAACGCATAATACACATTTAGAGACATAGAGGACAAGAAAAAACATTTACAATTTCCAAAGCTTAAGATTGCTTACGTCTATTTGAAAACAAACACGTAATTCACATTTGCAATTATCAAGGGAAAAAAACAACATTTACAATCAACAAACTTAAGATTGCGTACGCTTATTTGCAATTAAAATTATAATTCACATTTACGAGTATCAAGGAAAAAAACACATTTACAATTACCAAAACCTTTAAGATTGTGTTCATCTATTTGCAATTAAACGCATAATTCACATTTACAGTCACCAAGTACAAGAACAAAAAAAACATAATTTATAAATTTAAAAAAAACATAATAAGATTGTGTACGTTTATTTGCAATCAAGCGCATAATTCACATTTACAATCATCATGGAGAACAGAGAGCCTGAAACAGACGACAAAACGTAAGATTATTTACGTCTATTTGCATTGAAACACATAATTCACTTTTATAATCATCAAAGAGAAAAGAGAAACATTTACAATTAACAAAACTTAAGTTTGCTTACCCGTCTTCCTGCAATGACTAACGCATAGGCTGCGGACAACCTTAAGATTTTCACACCGTTAAAAGATGTGTCAAAAAGACGTAAAACCAAACCAGACGACCAGGACAGACAGAATGGCCAAGGACGACGCCAGAGTGACGGTTTTATCCCCCTTGTTGGGAGCGCCAGTGGCACGGTACTGGAGCGTGAACCCGTGACCTTGAACCTGTGACCCGGAGAAAAAGGTGACGTTGGCCACGTTTCCCTGACTGACATACTTGTGTTTCAGATCCGTGCTGTTGCCACAGAGCCTGACTACGCGCCGGTAGGATGAATCGTTCAGGTACAGCGTCAGTCGGTCGGCATGGTTACTGGCGTCGTAACACGTCTCGTCTGGGTGGAGTTGAGGGATGTCAAGGTCAAGGACGTTTATCTCGATGGTCTTGACGTCGTCCTCGGATTTCAAAATGTATCCGCACTTTGAGTTTTTCGGGTCCAGGTTCGGGTAGTTGGGTGACGTGAGCTCGCCGAGAGCTCCGTTTGACGGGACATTGATGGTCTGAACGGTTCCGCCGCAGCCTGTGATGGGCGTGGTCTCCGCCGTGTAAGTCAAGGTCACTGGTCGTGTGAGGTACTTTCTGAGGTAGACCATCAGAAGCAGCTCGCTTTGTTGGCTCACGATGGCGCGCTCTGACGTCATGCTGCAGGAGAAGGAAGGGTTCCTCATCTCCAGACGTGAGTCCAGGACCGGGGAGAAAGAAACAGCGTTGTCGCGTCTTTCGTCGCAAGTCCCGTTCCTGGTCAGGTCAAAGATCACATTGGTCAGGGTGACCGCCTGGCTGTCTGAACCAGAGTAGAACCTCCAGTAACACCTGGTGCGCCCCATGAAGTGCTCAGGGTGGAACGTTATAGAGTGGGACACCCTCCCCTCGCCCACATCGATGGATGTGTTGCAGGAAGCGTACTCCATGTCCCCCCACGAGATGGTGCTGTAGTTGAAGTAGAAACCTGGGACGACGGGCCGTGTGGTTTTCAAACTGACAACGACAGTCTCCTGCTGGAAGGTTTGCATAAACCCGGCCTGGGCCCGTGCTGAGCAGATGTCCACCTCGCCCTCGTCCTTGCCTCCCGCCGAGTGGAGAGACACCCTCAGCTGTACCGGTCGGTCCTTGCCCTCACACAAAGGGATCAGGAGCCCGCTGGAGACTTCCAGGACGGTGAAGTCCTGCGGGTCAGCTCTGGTGATGCTCCACTCACAGTCCAGCTCGGACATCAGGTAGTGAGGATAGTTGAGGGACTCCGCCCTCTGGGTCTGGCGTGTGGCGGTCAGGTGTGTCGGAGAGCAGGATGTGTGGACAGTGCTGGAGGCGGGGAAGCTCTGGGTCCGGAACTCGAGACTCGTGCTGGGGGTGGGCGTGTCCACGGTCAAGTGAACAGTTAGGTTGTCACGTGAGTACAGCCATAGGTTGGGGTCCAGTGCAACATTGGCGTCAGTGAGCAGTGGCGTTTTGAGTTCGTGGCCCGGATTTCCTGTCAGAATAGAGAAAAGACTACCGTGTCCTCTTTTCACTTCCCCAGAGCTGAAGTTTGTTTTTATTCCGATCACGTCGTCATGCTTGATGAGGTGCCAGGAACAGTCGATGTGTTTTCTCAACCGGACAGCATCTGGTAACGTGTAAGTTTTTCCTACCACGGGAGTATAGACTCTCTCGCAAGGCCCATCAATATTTGCCTGGTATTTAACCCAGAACCCTTCACTTTGCTGGTGTGCTACTAGCGAGGCGAGCCGCCGTGGGAAGAGAGTCTGGTGGGTCACAACGTTACCGTCACAGTCCTTGGTCAGCTCAAAGTGTTCCTCCGAGGGTCCGTTAAACACTGACAACTTCTGGGCTAGTTCCAGTCGGGAGGCGAGTATTTTATCCCACACTTCCAACATGCTGCAGTCTGCGGTTAGAGCCCGTGTCAAGGTCATCTGTAGGTCAGCGTTTTGGCCGATTTGGTTGGCCGGGATCCAGGCGTAGGAGACGGAAGTAGCTGGTTCTAAAACCTGGGCGTTGATGTCCCGGCTGGGAGATGGTTCACGTGACTTGACCACCAAGGTCAGAACCGCGTCACTGCCTCCGCGGCTGGACAACGTGAAGGTCAGTTTCCGGCCCGAGGCTCTTAATGTTGAGAAGGGGAGGAGCCTGGTCGGGCAGCCCGTGGTGCCTGCAGCCTGTGGCGAGCTCTCGTTGACCAGCACAGTTCCCGTGCCCAGGTCCTGCACGTTCAGAGTCTGCTCGGCACAGCTCGCGGAACCGTCGGCAGCCGTGAGTGTGTACTCTGTCAGCGCCGCTTCAATGACTGTGTCGTTACTGCCGGTGTCAAAGGTCACCTCACAGGTCAAGTCGCTCTCGTTTGTGCTCTGGATACTCCACTCAAACACGTACGCGTCCGTGGGACCAGTAACCGTCTCCGATTTATTCGTCCGGCACGATCTTCTCTCTATCGGACGGGCTGTGTATTCAACCTCCAAACCTACAGGCTGCTTCGGAAATAGTTCATATATGACTTCTGTTGTATACGGAGCATCGTACATTTTCTTGAGTATAGCAAAACGTGTTGGTGTCTGGGAGACTGTACAAATGCTCTGTCCCGTGCACCTGGGTGTTTGTAGAGCACTGCCATTGACTAATGGGGCGTCGTCCTGTCCGAAACCACGAGACACAGACGTGAGTTTCACGTCGACGGCGAGGTCGCGTGAGGACTGGACGTTCCACTCACACTTCTCGTGTACAGGATACGCAAACGGGTACCCAGACATGTAGAGAAGGCGGGTCTGTGGTTGTGCTTTAACTAGCGAGCCTCTACACGGCACTCCCCCACTCGTGTTGAGATAGCTGAACTGAAGGCTGAAGCCTCCCTCGGATGATGATCCGTCGCCGCCGCCATTGCTAACGCTGGGACGCGCGTACGTGACCTGGAAGGGGACATCTGGAATGACCATTGACCTCGCGAACTGTCCACCCCGCCAGGAGATGCTTGTTGTGTCCATAGTGACGGGGTAGTCTGTGTGGCCCCACGAGATGGACAGACCGTCGCTGATGTTGTAGAAAGTCACGCGGAGGAGCACGCCGCCTGGGGAAAGGACCTGGCTACTGCACACCAGGTCCGTCTGGTTCCCGCCGTCGCTCTGTGACGTCATGTTGAAGGCCAGAACCTTATCTGTTCCCCCGACAGTCAGCTGTATGTGCTGGGGCCAGCCGCATGGGTCCTGGGCTGTGACTGTAGCAAGGACGCCTGGGGTGGGAGATGCGGGGTGCAGGGGATACATGAGTCTATCTATCTATCGATCGATCTATCTATTTATCTATCTATAAATGTATCTATCTATGTATATGTCCATTTATCTATCTAAAGACAGAGAGAGAGAGAGAGAGAGAGAGAGAGAGAGAGAGAGAGAGAGAGAGAGAAAGAGACACACACACACAGAGAGAGAGAGAGAGAGAGAGAGAGAGAGAGAGAGAGAGAGAGAGAGAGAGAGAGAGAGAGGGGGGGGGGCAGAGAGAAAGAGATAATAAACAGGTAAATAAATTTCATTTTTTTAAATCCCGAAAGGGCAATTTGGTTTACAATGGCAAATACACATACTTAGTTGAATACACAATTATAAATCCACACTTGCCTAAATACTTACACATATATACCTGCATAAAATGCACAATTGCACCAATACAGAACAATTTCACAACCAAGCCATTGCTGGTTGCAGATAGATAGATAGACAGATAGATATATAGATAGATAGAGAGATCAATAGATTGATAGATAGATAGATAGATAGATAGAAGAGAGAGAAAGAAAGAGAGGGAGACAGAGAGAGAGACAGAGAGAGAGAGAGAGACAGAGAGAGACAGAGAGAGAGAGAGAGAGAGAGAGAGAGAGAGAGAGAGAGAGAGAGAGAGATGTCCTCAATCCACACAGTACTGAACACTTCAGACTGTTACCCATTTTCGAACCGGTGTACATTTCTTTTCTCAAACTCAAATACTTGCCCTACTTTAGGAGACAAGATTGAGTGGCGCGCGTTCTGTCTACTTGCAAAGTAAAAACAAGCCCTGCTGTGGACTATGAACTAACCTGAAAACAGCCAACCTATGTCCTGCGTCCTCATAATAATATGACCTTATGCAATTGTGAGTGCCATAAAACGTTTACTGAACTGAAAGACTATGTCTTGTAAGCGATTCAGGCCTTCTTTGTGTCTACGACAAGGTAAAAGCATACTTTCTAACATGCTATCAATGGACATCAACTTACCTGTGAGAAGGAAAAAAATGTTTAGGAGCATCGTGCCGAACATGTTCTCAGAACGAATATGGCGGCTTGTATGTTTCCTTGTGAGTAGGCGCTATCATAATATACTGTGGGCTTGCGAAATATCTCATGGTGGCAAGGGGAACACCACTGATAACGTTGTGCTAAAAATAGAAACGAAAAACGACTCTTTGGTAAGAGCGAGGCATTGGTATCGATGCACAGAACTTGAACAGCGAAGCCTGTTAATCACTTTTGTTCTTTCTCTTTGATTTAACTCATCGTCGATCAAAAATATTGTTTGGGTTTTTCTAATGTTAGAGATCTACACTCCCTTCTATATAATTCAGATGTTTTCGGGGTTTTTAAAGATGTTTTCCATCTTTTTTTATGTGTGGACCCTGCTTGTCAGTACCCGCCAGGGCGAAGAGGAACGTAACGTCCAAGAAGAAAGACTAAGATACTCGATTCAAATTCTCCCTTCGTGGGATTCGAACGCTCCAGCATACGACAGCGAAGTGCCTAACTGCCACACCATAGACGCCGGTGGGAGAGATGTCGCGATCGTTTCTCAAATCTTTGAGCCCAGCCGGGCTAGCTTCTGTGGTGGAACCGGGGAGCTCCTCGTCCTTACAGGCAGAAGGCCTGAGTTCGAGTCCCACGTGGCGAAGTCCGTGTATTCTATCGAGTATCTCCGTTCGTCTACTGGGATGCTGTATCCCTCTTACTCAGGATGCGCCCTGGTAGGTGGGGCTCGAGGAGCCTGCATGATGGGTGATTTAAACAAGGACGTGGGCAAACTAGACGTGCATGATTGGTGAGTTAAAGGTCATGGACAAAATGTGACGTGCATGATGGGTGATTTAAAGGTCATGGACAAAATGTGACGTGCATGATGGGTGATTTAAAGGTCATGGACAAAATGTGACGTGCATGATGGGTGATTTTAAGGCCATGGACAAAATGTGACGAGCATGATTGGTGATTTAAACAAGGTCAAGGACAAACTGTGATCTGTATGATGGGTGATTTAAACAAAGTCAAGGACAAACTGTGACTGTATGATGGGTGATTTAAACAAGGCCAACGACTTACTGCAGCCTGTAGACTTGATCTGGTCCGACAACAACTCGTTAGATATTC